TCCTGTTAAATATTTTTCTAGTTATTATTTTTTTTTACGTGAATGGTTTTATTAATACTACAGTTTTATTCATACTAACCTGTTGTTTAAATTCATTTATTCGTTAATTGAGTGACAGGTGTGTACACACAGTTACGTGTGCAAAATATATATTTAATATTTTATTCAATATAATTTGTAGTTTAACAGAATTACTGTTGAGTTCTGATGCGTATTGCTCCAGTCAGTCAGTCAAACTCTTCATGTTCATAGTTGACAGGATCATTATAAAGTCTTCCCTTTATAAAAAGTTGGCTATATATTTGTTAGAAGGATTGTTTAATTATAAGGTGAAACAAATTATATCAAATCCAGTTATGGAGTTAAATAAAAAGTTGTTACGAATTTCATATATTATTTATAAATGGTTTGTGATTGATCTTAAAGTTTAGTAAAGTTTGTTTCGTTAAGATAATCTCCTTGTTAGCCTGAATTATTTTTTATTTGTTAACACTAACCTTCCAAGCTGCGTAGATTTTCCGGATGAACTGATCATTTCTCTTTTCCATATTATCAATGTAAGTAAACCCTTTCATTAAGTGCTTATTATTAAATACTTTAGATTATTAATTAAATTAGAAAACCAATTATAATTGAAGCTAGTTAAAAGACGTTTTTTATATATTTTAAAATTTGTATAACTATTTTTTTTATAAATCTTTCAATTTTATTGATATAAAAGAATATTGGTTAAATAAGTGATTGTATAACATATCATGAGGTTATCTGAAAATAATGCAGTAATAATTTTTGACGAGACAAAGTTTTGCTGACAGTTTTATCAGTGTTTTCTTTTCATTTCTAAGTTTTTATAAATGGCTATATTTTCAAAAATATGACGCGTATGCACCACCACAGAAAAACAAAGCAGACCTAGTAACAGATCAAGTCGAAATAACAGTCTCCATCATTAAAGATCTTATTTATTATAAGCTGATTGACGTCAACAATTTCTATGACAAAGGTTTGTGCAATTTTAATTGTATCTCATCTTATTGCCTATTTATTTATTCTTTTATTTGCGTTTTGTATTGTTTATGTTTCTGCTGCTGTAAATTTGTTAGTTTATCTTTTCATTTTGTGTTAATTGTTTTAACTTTTTTAATTTAATTTTTCATATAATGCGTTATTTAACGCCTTAAAATTTATTTTCAAAGGTTTCGCGGACTTTCTTATTATCTCCATTATTCAACTAAGTTCAGTTTGCTTGTCAGCTCTCGAAGACACCCAACAACAACAACAACAGCAGCAACAACAACAACAGCAGCAGCAGCAACAACCACAGCAACCACAGCAGCGTCAATCTCACGTTACAGAGGGCATACAATCCTACCATAATAACGCCGTTGATGATATTTCCCAACTTTGTAACACCACCACCAACAACAACAACGACGACGATGTCGGCTTTGATACGTCTAACAGAAATGCCGTAGAAATTTTATTAGACCTTCTAAACATACTGCACATTGTTCTGAAAAAAATTTCTCAAGTCATAAAAAATGTTTTAGAGGTGGCCATTTTTTAAACTTTTTATTTTTTTTTACTTTAATTAGGTTTAAAATTAGATTAAGGTGTATTAGAAGCAAGGAAGTAAAAGGGATCATAGTGTTATCCGTATTTTATTTTATATCTGCTGAGCCTTTTCATTCAAACAAACGGATGAGCTCGGATGATACTAAATAATGTAAGATATGCCAAAGTCGCCTTACCTTGATGGGATGTTTTTTTTTAAATGAATACGTCCAGGTTAAAAGTCCTATTGTATCACCGACGTGTGAATCAACGACGCCGTCTTCCTTTTCTTCTTCTTCGGCAAAAAATGATGCCGAACAGTTATTATTGAGAAATAAGGTGTTCTGTATCTTCGTGCCACTGCTCACACATCTAGTAAGTTGTCGTCTGATTGGTTGTTAGCTGATTGGCTGTTAGCTGATTGGTTGGTAGCTGATTGGTTGTTAGCTGATTGTCTGATTGATCGTCTTGTTCTGTTATAATGTTGTTGCTATTATTGATATTAAGCTGAATTTTATTGGTCTTACATTTTTGATTTTATTTTTTCCATCTATCGAAACTTGGAAGTTGCTACATGAGGATGAAAAGGTATCGACCGAGGCTCTCAAATGTTTGGCATTCCTCGTTCAATTTTATGGCGGACAGCACAAACAATCACTCTGTCTTGACAATCAAGTTAGTATTTTATCACTTTTTTAGAACTTTTAACCAAGATTATCTTACTCTTATATATTTTGTTTAATTTTTTATCTCAATTGTTCTTTAGCGAATGAATGAATTGTATAACTTTGTGCTTTTGAAGGAATGCTACAGCAAATACTTACAAAAGTGTGATGTGAAAACAAAGAAACTAGTCTTAAAATTTATCAGGAGATTTGTAAGTTCAACTTCTTTTCCATGCGTATGTAGATATTATTTTGTGCAATGCTCAACTTTGTTTTATTGATGGTTTTTATTTAAATACTTTTAAACCCTCCATTTTATAAAAGTTGAAGTTAATTCAACTAGAAAAATTCATTTTCAAACAAACATTCTTTAATTCAAGATGAAGACTGATGAAACTCATCTTGATGCATTGAAAAAGAACAAGGAGACCTCGTCTTTGTTTCAAACGTTGAATTTCATAGCTAATTCTACCAGGTTAACGATGCATGCACGTTAAGAATTAATTATTACACTTTAATGATCAATTAAATGATTGTAAAGATTAGTTTGTTTAATATAAAGATTCATTTGTTTAATAATAGATAGTCTGTAAATTTGTTTCCTGTGTGGTCCGCTCAAGCAGTGCAAATTATTTTATTTTCTATTCTTTTCAGCGACCCATCCCTCGTATTGCTGGCGAAGGAAATTATTGATCCTCTTGAAAAGTGACATTTTCATGGAATTTCCAGGAACTTTTTATTTTGTCGCGATGTATTGTGTCAGATTATTGTTTCCATATTGTATTGTACGATTTTTTTTAATTTCATGTTGTTATGAAACCTTCTTCAACTAAGTTATTGCTGAATAAGTATTGTTTTTATTTATTTATCACGAACAACATCAATCAAGTTTTTGCGATGTGCATATTTATGACCGTTCAATTATTTGATTTATTACCAATATTATTTTCTAATTTTGAATCAGTAAGTTATTTCATTCATTATTTATTTTTATTTGGATGTGGTATCCGCCGATCGAAATAGTTGAGAAAGATTGAAACGAACGTGAAGTAACTAAACAGACCTTGTAGTGAAACGACAGCTATAGGACTCAACCTTAATTTTCGTCATTCATTTTTCATTGTGTTGACTAGACCGAAGAGTGTGAACAAACTGTCGGTTTATATGTTTATATGTTTTAATTGTTTATATAACAGGTTGAAGAATTGAATTGAATTTCATCACAGTTTTTCAACAACTTTATAATTTGTGTATATGAATGATTTGTGATGTTCATTGTATGCTTATTATTGTAAATCTTATCTGTGTATATTTGAAAGTAATAAATTCTCATTTTCGTTGTCATTTAATCACCAGTTGTAATAAGCGCTTTTTGGTTATAATTTTTTTAATCGTGGTTAAAATAGTTGAAACAAAGATTGAAAATTTATGATCTCCGGAGGTTTCTTTCCTGTCTGACTTTTTCAATTTGATTCTATTTGAATTGAAGTTAAAGAATGGCTACAGTTAATGAATAAAACCCTGAAGTGGATGTTACAGTTAAGCGTATAATACTTTCATATTTATGCGGCTTCACGAGTGAAAAGCGATTTTCACTTTGCGGAATGTATGCTACTTATTTGCATAAGAATAACCGCCATGACTTCTCGGGTGTGTTTGGGGCGTCCCAATTTTCCACGAGTGTCAAATATTAATACTTAACATTTTGTAACGTAAAGAAAGAACATGCACATAGCACTAACCAGCATAAAAAGCCATAACTTGCGATTATCATATCTAAATTTTTACTAGAAAATGAAACGAACTCTTGACGTATCATCTGAACGAACTGAAAATCTTCTCTCTTTTCGATTTTCTAACAGTAGATCGTAAATCATTTTTAAGTTTCTTGGGTTCAAAACCAAAACTTTTATTTTAAGCATGATAGAACAAAAAAGCTTTTTTGGTATACCTATCCATCTTCGATGTTCGAACTGATACGTTGTGTATGTGGCCGAATGCTCAAGTATATATACATACTGTGTCTCCCACAATGTTAATTCCTTGTTTAAAGTGAATACTTAACGTTCATTTCATTAGTTAAATATATATATATATATATATATATATATATATATATATATATATAATGTCCCGCTTTTGAAAATTCAAATGTTGGCAAGGACGTGTTTGTAATTCTATTAATCCATGATGCTGACGAAGCTTATAATAATTGCTTAAAAAATTTAGTTGACAGTCTTTAAGGAAATGTTTTTTTCATTTAAACTGTACAACTGAATCACAAGAACAATGGAAACAACGACAAAATTACAATATTCACTCACAAAATCAATAGCACAAAAATTCAAGTTTAATAAATGGGCCACATAATATTCTCGCTCGCTCGTCGCTTCTTACGTGTGGTGGTGGATAATTAACAAGCAACAGTTAAATATGCAACTCATGATTATTCATCAACTTTAAATTGGCTCAATGTATGTGTGTTGTGTGTGTTGGTATTTTCATTCATATAAAATTAATTATATATTCAAAAAATTCATATTAATACATGATTAGATATTCACACACGCTTATTTATAAAATTTACACAAACTTATTAAACCAATTTTTAGGTAGATAAATTCGAACAATTTCCTTTTTATGAACGATTAGGTGATTTAAAAAATGTTCGACGATGGAGTTAGTAATGAAAACGTTGAACGTTATGCGATGCAATCATCACATCAATCATGCAATCATCACATCACTTGCGTGCGTACTTACGCGATGAATGATTTTTTTTCAAACGAAATAGAATGGAATCGAAGCAGGAACATTAGTGGCTTCCTCATTTATCAGTGGTCTCCCGCCATTAGGCATATCGAACCTCTCAATTTGAATGACGTACTCAGGCGTGGGGTCCTCAAGGAATGAGCCACCATCCCTTTCATTAGTGATCTCGTTACCTTTCATTTCTTTTTTCTTATTTATATCAGTTTGGTTTTCATTTTCAGCGGTGCATTCGTCACCAGCTGAACAGTCGTTTTTGTTGGTTGTATCAGCCTTTTTATTTTTGTTCTCATTAACTGTTCCATATTTTGCTGCAGGGTTCCCCCACACCTCAGCACCAGCTTCATCCCCCTCCTTATCAACATCGTCAGCGTTAATTTCACATTCCTCATTATGATCATTCACTTCGAAGTTGATGGTGATATTAGTGTCTTTTTCCTTTACATTTTCATTGTCACCCTCCAAATTATTCTTCTCAAGTTTCCCGTCTGACTGAAGCTCTGATTTCCGCGGCAAATTCATCCCAACCTCGTCCGTTTTCGGTAACGGTTGATGTGATAGGGCTAACTGTTCATTTTCTTGTGTAGGATATTGTCGTACTTGTGGTTGGAGTATTTGTGGTATTTGTAGTTGTAGTACTTGTAATTCTGGTACTTCTAGTTGTGGTAATTGTGGTTGTGGTATTTGTGGTTGCGTCTCGTTGTGGTCCGCGTTTAGTGGTAGTATTAGTGGCGAGGATGTCGTTTGTGAATCACTGTTCATATCGACAGAAAATGTCGTTCTTTGGCGTTTCAAGGAATTTTTTTTCTGCTGATGTTGTAAGGAATGCTGTCTGGAAAGGGTGAGCTTCAAAAGTGTTTTGTCTGTGCTTCTGTTCAATGTTCCGCCAAGACTGATACTATCTTTGTATTCGTCAGTGCTGTTGTTGTTGTGGCTGTAGTGGTGCTGCTGGTAGCTGTGGCTGCTGCTGTTGTTGCTGTTGGATGGAGTGAGTGTTGATTGTGGTTTTTGATTGTTTGCTTTCCTCTGCGAACTGTTGAGACGCGTCCTTGAATTGTTTAGCGATGTTCGGCTGGCTCTGACAAAATGGGAATGTCGTTGATTATATCATTATAGTTTTGATGTATCGTTGAATTTAAATGATCGCAATAATTGCTTACAAGCAGATTTTGTTGAAGCGCGTTATTTTATATAATTTTTTTATCTTTGCGTGATATATAAATTTATGAATTTTCACATTATTAACAAATGTGTAATGCATTATTTAATATGAAAATGTTGTGATGTTAGAATTCATTCTCGCCCTTATTAATAAAGTTTTCTATGGCAACCATCATTTTCAAAATCTCATATTATCACCATGTTCACACTGTCATGACAACCATCATCATCTTCATCATCATCCTCATCAATTATCCTTCTCCTCCTTTTTTTCATCATCAATCATCACCATCCTCATCTTGACAATCGTCATCACAATCTTCATCGTCATCACCATCCCCATCATCCCATTCACTTGCTTGGCACCAAATTGCTGTTACTCTTGGCCATCTTGAGTCTGACGTGTCGGTAGTAGATGAGACAGAGCAGCAGGAACAACGGAATGATGAGGATGGTGACCAGCAAGCAGATGAAAAAGATTTTGGACGTTCTCATTTTTTGCTCATGAATTTCTAAAACCAATTTTTTTGTAAATTTTTATTATAGTTAAAAAATTAATGTAATTTGATACATGATCGATTCAATTGGATTCAATTCAAGAGTTTTTTTTTATGTTCAGTAAAATGACATAAATTAATTGTCAGTTTATTAAATGTTGCTGAAATGTTCATCGTAGTAAAGCTTCTTTGACCTAACTGATTCATTTGCTTGTTTGTATTTCTGCAACTTGTTGTATGAAGAATGTATTGCAGTATTATATCGTTATAGCTTTATAAATGTTGAAGGTTTGTATCTATTACTTATACAACGACACCTACAATTTTGCTCCATTTTGCTCAAATCTCAAATCAATTTTTTTTGTATACCCAACATTTTTTTGCCGGGTGAAAAATTGATGCGACAAACATACATACACATACAAACAAACACGCACAACAAACACACACACACAGACACGCTAGCAAACACAAACGCAAACACACACATACACACACGCAAACACAGAGTAATGCATTAAGAACATTTAACCCAATGCACTCAACTCACTCATTGTTTGTCCTTCGATAGGACTGACTGTGCGGAAGCCGGTTTTGTTTATTTGATTACAACTTTTTTATTTCTTATATGATTTCTAATTCAATTTAAAAGAATTCGGGTACACAACCTTCTATAATTTTTTAAATGGAACAATTTTTTTAGCATTACAATTGCTCTACAAAAGTATTTGCAAAGTTTAACATGAAATATCGGCCTTAACATTGTTAGTAAATTTTTAAAATTTATAAAAGAATTCCCCTAAAAAATTTTGAAATAATTTAGAAATTAACAAATAAGTGACAATAAATATGATTATGATGCCTGACCATGATGTTGCAGTGACTGTGTTCGAATACAGAAGAAATCCAAATCTATCACATGATATCTGTGTAATGTGTGAACTGTGGATTCATGCGCTGTGTGTGTGTGTGTGTGTTGTTGATGTATCTTAAAAAAGATAAAAAAAATTAATAACAATAACAAGTTGGTAACCTTCACAATTGAAAGTCATGTTTTTCAAGAGAGCATAATAATTGTTGGCCCATTTTTTTGGGGCCTCACCACAATGTTTGTCGATGGCGGACAACTGACAATTTATATTCAAGTCATCGATCCTGATTTAATGTCAAACGTGATGGTTGATGGGTGTCTCGAAATGGATCGTTTGTGTGCAGTTGGTTTTGTGGGATTGTTATAATTATTATGTGTGTATTAGTTTTTTAAACTACTACTTTTTTCATTCATGTATGATGATTATTGAAAATCTTCAATTGTTTCCGATTTGCAAATAATATATAAACATAATTAACAAACTAATTCAAAATTGAATAAAATAGTTAAAAACTGAACAACCCAAAGAAACAGGGAAAATTGGCATTTAAAATCCAACATTTTCGAGAGTCAATTTAATTATCAAATTTGTATCACTGGTTTACAGTGCATAACATGCAATTTCAATTCCTAATTCAAATTTTAGTCTTGAAACTATTTTGAAGAGTGTAAGAACAATTTATTTTTGTTATAAAAATCCATTTAATTGTAAAAAACCCGCCAATTTATCCAATATGACAACCAAATTTTTATCACTTATTTCAACAAAGATTGCCATCCATATAAATTTCATCGTCGGCATTGTCGTCGTCGTCATCATAACATACTTATCATCATCATTCGCATTGTTACGCTCATCATGACCGTTGCAATCTTCATAATTTTCATTTGTAATAGATCATCAATCGGTTAGATGAATGATTCCAATTGATCAACTGCACGCCGAATAAATACATGCAGGTAAATAAAAAAAAATGAAGACATGTACACGTAAACCTTGATCGTATGTTTAGATATTCGTACGCTAAACATCGACATAGATCGTACATAACGTTGTCGGTAGGCGTTGGATTTTTTACCTTAACCTTGTTTTATGCTCCAGCACAAACCAAACCAAGAAGACGACTCCTTTTTTATTTCTACATTTCGTAGTTAAGAAATTGAAGCAACAGCGTTCAACGTTATAAAACGATAGCACTTGAACGAATTAAACAGTATAATTCAACAATTTATCGGCAAACTGGAAAATGTAAAATGCCCGCCCGTCAATACATTCTCGCTTGTTTTATGCAAATTCTCTATTTAAGATTCAAACTAAATCTTCTATCGCAAGAGAGTTTGAATCTTTCTGTGACTTAATGGTTCCTCTGTTTGCGATGTTTTGTTTAACACGTTTGATCATTTGGATCAAGTTTGCAAGTGCTTAGGTGACAAAAAACTCTGATTTTCGAACTAAAACTATTTTCATTCTCGTTCTTCTTGTTATATTCAACTTTTTTATTTGACTTTTCTGACTGATTATATTTTAATCGATGAAGATCCATTTTTAATTGCAAACATTTACTCCCAGAGAGGTGATCAAGCAAAACATGCTCCAACTAACTTTCGCTGAATTTAAAGTATGTTCTTCACGATAACGTTTCGTTTATATATCATGATTGATGCCTCCCACTTTTAACATTTACAATTTTTTACCTTTACTGAAAATATTTTTTATAAAATTTTCTCGAAGAAATTTTTTCCATAAAAAAATCTTTATTAGTCTACACGAACGGACAATAGTAATAGGCGTTCACATGAAGCGTAAATGGTCTTGAAGTTTTAATGAGACGTTTTGACAAAAAGTCAGCTTTGTATTGCCTAATAAAATTAAACGGCGCCACTAAACTCTCACCCCGTCAGCAAACTTGATAATACTAAGAACCATAATTCACCTTATAATGTGTAATAGTTTAAAAATTGAAAATAGATTATAAATTAAAAATAGATTAAAATTTCAAGGATGAATTTTTCAAATGTCAAACATTTAAAAAATTTTTCTTTCTTTTGGGAAAAATTCTTCACGGCTGGAAAAGTATTTAATTGTTTTTTTTTATGTGTGAAAATTTAATTGAAATAATTTACGATAGAGAATGAATTGATGACGACGATGGTGGTGGGAGCGTTTGATTCATTTGATCATGCCACTTCCTTTTATGTCTTTTAGGCTTGGTGAAGAATTAATAAAAATAAATTTTCCTAAAAAAATGTTTTTTTTTAATGTAAGCAATTTTAAATCAAGCTATTTAATTTTGATGTTTCCTTTAGAAAGTTTAGTTACAACTTTTCGATGATTAAAATAATTGTTAAAATATTTAGCAGACGCCAGTTGTAAAATAATATTCACAATAATTGAAATTGAACCAAAATGTTTTAGCTTATTTTTGTATTTTAGGCTACTTTTCTGTGTTTGGACATTTAAACAAAATAACAAATTTTGTTGACCTAAAAAATTTTTTTCATTGAAAAAATAAAAATATCACCGATGAAATTTTGTCAATGAAAAGTTCTCGGAGTAAATAGAGTTGGATAGGAACAAACCCATATGTCAACCTAATTTTTTTCTACAAAACTTGATTTTTTTCGTTTTTTTCAAATTTTAGTGAAAAATAAAATAACGTTCTCATAAATCATGTGTCTGACTAAACTGTATCACATCAAAGACTAAAATGTTTCACATCTTGAAGAAAAATCAGTAAGTGTTATATTGAAAATGTAATATAAAACTTAATTTAACCTAATTTAATTTAATTGAAAAATGTGAAATCATACTTGCAAAGTTTGCGATATTTTTCCCTGGAACTCATGCTACTATCGTTCAGTATCAGTCTCAAGAGCTCCCTCTGGTATCTCTTCATACAGGGCTTTAAATCCATGATCAGCTCTTCTTTCGCAAAACACCATCTAACATTTTTGTATTCTGGTGACATTTTGATAAAGCTATCAGTTTTTAATGAATCAAGGTAATGTTTATATTTAGTTTGTCATTTTATTATGACTTAATCACTTTATTTTCAAGTTTTCTCAATTTCAAACAAAAACCTGCAAATTGAACTATAGTAATTAAACTAAAACGTTAACTGGGAAGCTCACAACAATAAGAGTGTGGCATCGGCACAGATCTCGCTTTAAAATGAACTTTTTAACGGATATGGCATTTCTTATAATGTAAATCCATGGCTACAAACCATCTACATTTAACAGGTAAAATTTGTGACTGTATCACATTTTCAACTTTTATTTTTCTCAAATGATTTATATACATTAGTCGTTAACATCCCATCTATAAATTACACCCTACAAGTAGGCCAAATATATCCATAGACGCGTGTAGAACACCTAATTGATACTCTCAACACACGCACACCCGTTCCACGGTCGGCTTTGGTTTATAGATAGATACATGCGTGCTATTAGGGCAGAAGCCACTAACTCATCTGCACGTGCTGTGGTAACAGCTCAATTTATTTCTGCTTAACCTACAACCACACTATAAAGATATTATTAACAGTAGTTGTTGTAGTGTAATGTAAGTATAGATGTTTTATTGCCATGTTATTGTTCAACGCAATTATTTTTTTTGTTTTTATCCATATTTCTGTTCTTATTAAACTTTAAGAAATATGATCAATTGCTTTTACATAGTTATAGATGCAGAAAATGCATCACCACCAATATCCTTATATCATCATCTGCCTGTATATCAAATGGTAACATAACCAAGTTATGTGCTTCATGCAAATAACATTGATGGGACATTATACATGCAGATGATAATATTATCAGATAATCACCGAAGTTAATTAAAATCTAAAATCAACATTATATTAAAATTTTCATGATTAAGTGCATATGCATGCATGGAGTGTGTGTGACGTGTGATACAAAATGTTAACACCATCACATCATAATTTCCATACACACTTTTAACACTATTTTCATAGCAAAAAAAGGTAACATCAGCATTAAACGATTGTTTGTGTGCGTGTGTGTGTGAGTGTGTTTGTGTGTGATACAAAATGATGGTGAAACAAAACAAACCACCTTTTTCGTTGCAGCACCAGTAGAATGCGGATTGGTATTTTCCATTACAGAACTCCTCCAGTGTTGCATTTTTACGTACTATGCTGCGTCAATGTGCATTTGTGTGTGTGTGAGTCTGAGTGTGTGCGTGTGTTTGTGTGTGTATGTGTGTAACAGTTGTAGAAACCGTTATTAAAGAATAAATTAAAAAAGTCCTACATCCCATTACTTATTTTTGCCAGCCATCCAATCAAAAATGACTTAGTTGGTTTTTTCCATTATTTTTTTGTGTTCTTTTTCACAAAATCTTCTCATCAAATTTGTTTTTATAATTGTCAGTTTCATGTTATTTAAAATGTTTTAACATTTTCAACAGATGAAAGTTTCATTTGAACGAATTTAACAATGTCATTATTTTCAATTTTTAATTCTTGGAATTTTCTCTTAGCAAATATTCCACTTAATAATTTGTTTGTTGAACATCTATCAACTGTCCTAATAGAGAACTGGCGTAATTTTTCAATGTACAACAACCTGTCATTCTATATCAACAAATACATACATACACACACACACACTACACACACACACACACACACACTACACACACACACACACACACACTACACACACCACACACACACATTCACAAATGTAAATAATGATTTACAAAACTTTAATTGTCGTCAACAACCATCTCAAAATATCCTATCCCATTAAGACGATGAGTAGGACAACTGCATTTTGAACATTCCCAGGACAACAATAAAATAATGATACCTTTTTTTATTTTATTTTGTACTGATAAATTCAAATGTAAATAAATGTACAAATATTCATGTATATTTATGTATACATATATGTAAATGTGCGTGTGCGTGTGTTTGCCTGTGAGTGTATACGTACGTACGTGCTATATATTACAATTATGTGTGTGCGCGTGTGTGTTTGTGCGTGTGCCGTGTACTGTACATGCATTTTGCATGTTTGCAATAAATATGCAATCTGCGGTGATTGATTGATTGCTCTCCTAACGAAATGAACATCTCTATTTATAGGAGGCCTGACGGTTGGGCTGGCGTGGAATTAATCGCTTTTCTGAAACAAGTTGTTTCCTAATTTGAACTTTTCAAGTAATTTATCAATAAATCAATCAGTTAGTTTATTCAGTTAACACATACATTATAATTATATAACACACTTTAGAAATGGCTAAAATGAAATACAACACATGAATTGACATCATCTGTTCATTTGTTTAATTATTTTTATCACAAACACCAGACCAGATAATGTAACACATAGCACATTCAGAGCAGAAATTAAACTACCAATTCATGAGTAGAAAGAGAAATGAAAGTTAACTCACCGACACAAATAATCCATCTGGTCATCATCGAAATAGGGAAGAAGCATACTTTGTGAATTGTTATCGTGTCTATCTGCAGTGCATTGGAATTGGTCGTGACGTTAACGAAATCATACTGACGATGACATAAACATTATTAATTAATGACTAACATAATTTTGTTAACGAAACTCGCTGAGCAATAGAAATCATTTTTCTTCCATTGACGACAAAAATGACGCTCATACTAATAAACATTTTTTATACTTATCGCATAAAATATAAAAATCCAAAAATAAATCTTTCACTATTGGCATATCATCAAAATGAAGCATGCACTGTAGAGAGGACAGGATTTGAATGTAAATTAATCTGACACTGTTATAGTCCAAGTTGATACTGTGTGTGTGTGTATATGTATGTGTGAGTAGGTTGATGTAGGTGTGTGTGTGTGTGTGTGTGTGTGTGTGTGTGTGTGTGTGTGTGTGTGTGTGTGTGTGGAAAAAATTTCCTTATTTATTTCTGCATGCGTGTGATGATGTTGATTGACATTTTATTTACACAATGAACGTCGCTTTTATATCAACAAGATGACAATAGGTTTGTGTCCTTGGACTTAATTGAATTTTTTTAAATAGCGGCCAGACAATTTAAAACCCTTGAAGATTTTACTTTTTATATTAAAATAATTTGATTTTCCATTTTATGATAACAATTATAGATAACCATAAACATGTGCAGAGTATTTACGCACACACAAGCACATACACATACACACACATACATGTGTTGTGTATATCATTTATTTTTATAGCTGCAAATTAAATGGAGAAGTGACGTTAAACCATGTTTATGTGATGGCATTAGTCTGCATGTAATTGATATAAAAATTTTGACGACCGTTTAAAAATGAACAATTTATTTCAATTATGTAAAATAGAAATAATTATACATTTTTTAAAAAATTATCCATTTAAGAGCCGATGTTGAATATGTATAGTTGGATTGGTGTTATAGAGAGCATGAAAAAATTAAACACTAGATTTTCGCTATCCAACATAAGACCATAAATAAAAACTCTACCGCAACATAGGGCCCACTACCCAAATTCGTCTTATAACACATGATAATGGGCAAATAATTGGGCAATTTAACGACCATTCCAACTCAACCAACAAGCAAAATACTCTGCATTGTTAGCCAATTTTCATTATTACACTTGGGAGGTATTTTTTACTGTTGAATTTTTAATGAAAATTCAACATGCATGTTGTTGTATGGCTGTACGTTTGCCTTTGCATGTTTTTTACTTAGTTCTACTACAGATTTTTATATAGTTCTCTATTAACTGCAAAAATATGCAAATGACTAAACATGAATTGATAAATTAAATATAATGAGTATGAATCAGCTGACTCAGGAAAAAATTAAAACTATTTCAAGATGTAAACAGCTGAAATAAATAGCAAATAGATGTACAACCTGAATCTTATATTTAAATTCTCGTAGTTCTTTATCGCCTTTTTGTATGAATCATGCACTTTGCGTAGTAATACTTTTAAATAGCGTTGTTATATTTAAAATGTTTGTTTAATGGTTTGAAGAGAAAAATTGAATTTTAAGAACTGTCTTATCATTTGAAATGCATTCTATGATTACGGCGTTTTTAGACAACATTTTTAACATAAACTAAATTGTTAAGCATTTCTGTCTATATTTGGAAAAATAGTAAACTGTTTGCTTTAAATGTTTCTGTAAGCAAATCATAAAGTAAGAATACAAAATATTGAATGTAATAATTCCATAAAAAAGCGAAAAAATTGATTGAAGGAAAATTTTCAAATTCGTCAATTCACCCACAATTGCATAATGATCTTTTTTCAATTTTTGTTAAAAAAGAATATAAAAGCCACTTGGTCTGGAAAAGTCTGGAAATTATTTAATTTTCTAACTCAATAGAGGTGCATATTTATTCCGTATTGCCTTTCTTCTCATTGAATTTTAAATTTTCAAATTTTTATAAATGAAACTAAAAAAACTATTTAAAGAAAAATTCTTATCAATTAACCGATCCAAACAAACTTGAAGTTGTAAACGATGTTGAATAAATGACAAGCCAAATAAATCTGATTACGTGTTTGTAGATAACAACACTTGAAAAAATATACATTGATTTAATAAAAACAATTGTTAGTTTGTGTTACAAAAGGAAAAATTAAAATTAAATATACCGAGAAATTTGTCGAATCACATTTTGTTTGATGAGCATATTAATATGGCTGAAAAACATATGGGTCTTCTTTTTTGTTTACACGTTCTTCCCTTGGGAAACGTCGTGCAAATGAAATGTTGCTAAATGTTGAATTTTCTCATTAATGTTTGCAGTTAATGCATGAAAACTCTTTTGAAATCTTAAGAAAAAATATGCTTAAAAATATTTTTAAACAAATTTATGCGTTTGAAGAAAAATTCAACGGCTTCTTTTAGCTTTTCTTTCCATCGAAACTGTCGAGTAGAGTAAACAAACATCAAAAAGTGCTTCGCAACGTAAAACTACAAAAATATTTCTTCGCAGACGATCTTCAAATTTTGAAATTTTTAGATATTTTCTTTTTGGACAAACTTCTTTGCGAATTCAATTGTTTCACTTTTGTTTGAAAACTTATTTATTAAAATTTTGAAACGTGCATGAGACGAGATTAAACTTGAAATGTTTGATTTACATTTGAAAACTGTTGAAAACAAATTCATCTGTTTATTTCAATCCTTACCAATGTGAGCTGCATTGAGAGCCTGTTTGTTCAGTGAGATGCCTAATAGGGCGCTTTTATGAAAAAACCAAGTAAAAATAATCAGCCCCTCAAAGACACAATACTCATGAAGTGTGCAACTAATAATTATTTGCAACTAGCCAACAAGCGGGCAAACAAAATGAATAATGAGTTTTTCATCGCGTTTCGTTCAATGGATTGTTTGCATCCGTGGGCTGAACGCTAAATGATTGATACCCATCCACCCAAGTGAGCACATTCTGGTGGAGAGCTTTAAGTAGTTGTCGTGCTATCACATTTTTTTTAAGTTCACCTCTCTTATTTTTTTATGCGTTCTATAAAAAATAATTTATCTCCATTATGTAGTAAAAACAGACAGATATATAAAAACTACATGCTCACAAATTTAGAGATGGATTCAAAATTAAACTAACTACCTTTAACTGTGTTTACACAATTACATTTCCTGCGAAAGAGTTACGTTCCTATTAATATTCCTGATTTGTTTGCATTAGAAATTGATTAACTGCCGCCTAGAGTATAACTGCCTACATCATCATTGTGAATGTGAATCGTCGTCATCATCAACTTACATCATCCTTGTGAATCCTCGTTGAGGTGAGCGTAAAAATGTGAACAGAGTAGAAAAACATAAAATTAAAAAAGATTTAACATGAACTTTCACAATGTTCATTATTTTTAATAATATCCATTACAAACAAATGAAACAACTACAATACTTAGCAGCATTTGTGTGGGATGCATGTTTAACAATGCTTAGAAAATTTAACAAGAGTTCAAACAAATCAATCAACTTTCACGTTCAGCAGTTAATCGTTTAGAGTGAAAAAAAACTGACTATGATTAAAGAGTTGTATTTCAAGGTTGAGCCACTATGATATCAGATATAGATTCAAATATTCTTTCATTTTTAAGTATTTTCAGTTATTTTCAAACAATTGTATCATTTTCTTACAAAAGCAAATGAAAGGTAACAGTAAATAATACTTTTTTTTAAAGTAACGCTTGTTAGAAAACTACCTTTGAAGAACATTTTTCCAAACCTATGTAGTTTTAAGGTTTTGTAGGAAATGATAAATATAAAAATAGAAAATTTTTGTTATCATCTTCACTATCATCTCAATGCATTTTGTTATCATAAATTTCAATTATATAAATAAAAATCATCATTATAATTGGTGGGATTTTTTTTATCTCCATCTTCACAAACTGAGCACCATAAGCCAGTCAGCACATGATAACAAATCATCCACTACTATCTGTTACTCAATGTCAAGTTTGAAATGGCCATGAAAGTTCAGATTTTTATTTTGAAAAAAAACATACATAATATGTTATTAATTTACATATTTAGTTATAGAAACTGTTTTCAATGATTGAGAAATATTCTTCCGGAGAATCATATTTAGACGCAAAAAAGATACGCTGAGTGACTAAAACTATGTTCAATTTATAAAAAAAATTTAAAATTTTTGAAAAATTGCTTACATTTTTTGATATTTAGTTTAGATTATAAGTTTTTATGAACTCATTTTATTATTCATATTATTAATATACTGTTGTTACAAACGCATTATAGCGAAAATGTTGTTTCTGACGGCAATGGTTATGAAGATTAAGAAAGATTGTAACGTTACTCTGGACAACCTGTTTCAAAGTTGAGGAGAATGACTTTCTTTCTTCCAAAAATTTAACTTTTTTACTGGTTGACGTTCCAGACGTTTGTGCGTTTTTGCCTGTATAATCATTTTTTCCACTTTTTCAGATGGCGTTAAATATTTGTTAATAATTCCCGCCTGTTTGTCAGCAGTTTCTTGTCAGCGTGGTGTAAAATTACTCAGTTTCAAAAATATTTATACTGTAACACTCTACTTTTTTTAATAAAATAACTGAAAATCCGCTAAAACACATAAAACTCACCAAAATTTAAATAATGAAACGCAACAAAATAAATGAAATTCAATAACAGAAGTCAGCAGCAGGATGCAGAGATGAAGGACATATGGACCAACACCTTCCTCTAGCACCTGGCGACAAGTAAGTCAAATTTGCCATCAGATACTCGATCGAAGAAAAAGAAGGCAAAAAATAATTAATTTTTTCTATCTCACGTACATTAATGATTTCATGTTTGCCATGTGACTGCCTTATTTTCATCCAAAGAACAATAATTTAAAAAAAAAAGTTTTAAATGATTTTTTGGCCTGAATATAAAATTTTTTTGTTAGAAATAATATTGCCACAAATAGTTTAATGTATGCTCAGTAAATTGTCATTCTTCAACAAATTTCAATTATTAAGTATATTTGCCATAATATTTGTAACATTAAACAAAATTTCTTCATGAATAATTTATTTATGAAAAAAATAAGTTTTTTTTTATATAAACGAAGCTCAACAACAAAATACATTTAGTAGAAAACAAATATAATTGTAATTGTGAGCTTTCACTAACAACAACAAAGT